ATGGTTTTCTGTCATGTTGCGAGGTTTGTGATTCTATTATTGGTTCGAGTCAAATTACCGTGACAATTTGATGTCATTGTTTTCTGTGGTGCTACCACACTGTGCTGACCTGTTGCTCCCCCTGTGTTCCCGCCAGTACCTGGCTCCAGAGGTGCTACGCAAGCAGCCATACGACAAGACGGTGGACTGGTGGTGTCTGGGGGCTGTCCTCTATGAGATGATGTATGGCCTGGTGAGTCTGTTTGTTTGTTTGTCTCTTTGTCTGTCTGTCTAGCAATGTGTCTGTTTGTCTGTCACCTGTCTGTCTGTCTGTCTGCCTGTCTGTCTGTCTGTCTGTCTGTCTGTCTGTCTGTCTGTCTGTCTAGCAATGTGTCTGGGGGCGGTCCTTTATGAGATGATGTATGGCCTGGTGAGTGCGCCCCGGCCAAATGTTTGTCCGTCTGTCTGTCTGTCTGTCTGTCTGTCTGTTTGTGTGTGTGTTTGTCTGTCTGTTTGTATCTTTGTGTCCCACTGACATTTCTGTCTTTCTGTCTGTCTAGCAATGTGTCTGATTGTCTGTTGGAAAGTACATACTTGTAAAAAATGCAGGTTTCGCAAACTTGCTTTAAGGAAACATGCTCTTGGTTTTGCTAAATCTCCCCCTCCCCCCTTCCCCTTTTTTTTAGTTCCATGAACAGAAAGGAAAAGAAAGGCTTTATAGTATAGGGCTTTTGAAATGTCCCCCCCTTTTTTTTTCTTTGAGTTGCTTCAGAAAAAAAGATGAAAAAAGAAAAGAAAAGCTTTGGAAATAAAATTTGGGATTTCTGAGATAAAACTCATAATGAATCATTTTTTTTTTTTTCATAGTTAATATAATTGTCCCCATGGTTTTATGCATCCCGCATAATTTAGTAAAATTTGATCATTTTTGGGGCATAATTTCTGATTATTTTCCTTTACCATTCTTTGTTAAAATGAACAGAATTGCATAATTTCACATTTTTGGGCTCAGTTTGCATAATTTCAGAATTTTTCTTGCATAAAACGACGGGGACAGATATAAGTGGTGGATATGACTCTGACTATAGTGTTTATTTGCTTTTGTCCTCAGCCTCCGTTCTACAGCCGAGACACGGCGGAAATGTACGACAACATCTTGTTCAAGCCGCTGCGTCTACGCACCAATGTCTCAGCAGCGGGGAGATCAATCTTGGAAGGGGTGAGTTGGTCCTCCTCTTTTTCTAGTTCCTGCAGACGCCTTAGATAATTCTGTCACGCCTTTTATCCTGACCTGCCTATTGGGTGGTTGGCGGGTGCTCTGGTGTGGCTTGCTTCTTCTTTCCTGTCAAACATCTATCGTCCTTATCTCCCCTTCTTCTTTTTTATGTTTGTTACTCTCTTGTAACACCTCTAATCTTCTGGTGCTCATATGACCTTATGCAGTTGCGAGTGCCGTAAAACCTCTACTAAAACTAAAACTAAAACTGACCTGCCTATTGGGGCTGTGCATAATCTGGATAAAGACAGTGCAATTGCTTGCCATTGAAATTGTAAGCTTTATCAAGACAGAGTATCTTGGTTTTAAACACTAATTACCTTTAATAGAATTTCTAATAATGGTAGCAATTCACAACTTTCAAAACAAACCTTTTATTGTGCACTGCTTGCATGCAGTAGAATTTATGAAGAATTGTGCTTATCATGCTGTTTCCAATACCTCTGAGCACATTTTGTAAAACATGCCATCTCAGAGGCAATTTAAATGAGCAAGTTTTCTAAACTGATGTCGTTTTCTCTTTTAACTTTGCAGCTTCTTCAAAAGGAGAAGGAGTCTCGTCTCGGTGCTAAGAAAGATTTTTCAGAGATTAAGAATCACGACTTCTTCTCCGATATCAATTGGCAGGACTTGTTTGACAAGAAAATCACGCCTCCGTATAACCCCAATGTGGTAAGTGATGCTAGAAATTTTAATGTTATATTTTGTACATTTATTCTACTCAACACTTAAGTAGTTTTTGGGGGGTTTTGGGAGATTTTGATTTTTTGAATTTTTTTATTATCTTTTTTTTTAATAAAAAAAAAAAATTTTAATCATTTTTTTTTTTTTGGGGGGGGAGGGGGTATTGGAAGGGAGGGGGGTTGAGGGGTTCTTGAAAATAATGACAGCAGCAAAAGCTTGAGCTGAAAAAGCCATTGGTCCTTCTTTCCTGGGAAAACAAATATATATATATATCATAACCTTTACCTTGAATTATATGTAATGTGCTTATTTTTCCGTTCATATATATGGAAGGTATTTCATTCATTGATTTCTTTGCATCTGCCGTGTAAAAGCTTCATAGAGAATCTTTTTGTCTTCAAAAGTTACAAGCTTGTTGGATCAAAAATCGAATCAATTCAACATCTATCAGAAAAGAGATTTAATAATTGCAGGTTGTTCTTTTCATTTAGGGAAAATACTGTACCCTCTTTAACTTTAATGACCATGCTATATTTTTGGACAACTGAACTGGCATTAATTAATTCTTCATGCAAAACAGTGGAAATGGGCTAAAGGCTAAAGCAGTGTGCTTTATAATTTTCAGGTCTTTGGTCCTGTAGTTGACTTATTATTTGGTCAGATCATAGTAGAATTATTTTGTTCTCCACCTATTTTTTAGAACGTTAACAATATCCAATTTTTTCATTTCAGAGTGATCAGCTCGATTTGAAGCATTTTGATCCTGAGTTTGTGAGAGAGCCTGTTCCAGGTGAGTTCATGATTTGTTACCTGCCGTCATTTAGTTTAGGCTGAAGGGATCAGGAGGGATTTTTGAAAGTAGAATAACGTTTAACAATTTATAGATCTGCCTTTTACCCACCAAAAATGTTAAAAGTGTGATTTTGTGTTCTAGTTCTGTGCATCAAGTGTGTGTGTGTGTGTGTGTGTGTGTGTGTGTGTGTGTGTGTGTGTGTGTGTGTGTGTGTGTGAGTGTGAGTTTGTGCACTTGCATGCTTGTGTGTTTAGTTTGTATATATTAGTGTGTATGTATTGCAGGGGCATGCTTGTGAACATGTATTTGTGTGTGTGTGTATTTTGATAGTGAGTGAGAAGTAGGACGAATGTAAATAGCTCTAATATAATGAATGGTCGCAGATAAAGATTTAGAAAATAAGCTGAGGGCTGAATACCTTATGCGGTTGCGAGCCATGAAAATCTTTTTACTAAAACAAAATTAAAAAGAAAAAATAAATGGAACCTTGAAAGGGAATGTCAGTCAGTAAGATGGGTTGCGATTACACGAGTATAAATCACATCATGTATCTGGGGAAGAACGTCGTACCGCTGGAAAAACCTGGGTACTTTTGAGAGCCCCCCCCCCCCCCCCCAAAAAATCAAAGTGAGCTTGTGAAGAAACTGTGGTTATATTATCTATAAGATAAGATAAGATAAGATAAGATAAGATAAGATACATCTTTATTGTCCAGATCCTGGCACATTGGTTTGGTGTTCCACCACGAGTACACACACACACACGCACACACACACACACACACACACAAACACACACATGTACACACGTGCACGCACATGCACACACAAGTAGGCTTACAATCACATACATAATATAAATGAGCAGCAATATAAACAATAATAATCGTAAGCTAGATACACACTCAATGTTATTTTGATGCATGCTCTAAGGTCGTAAGTACACTAAACAAGATGGTTAAGATGGAAGCATTTTGATAGATGATAGTAAAAATGACCTTCTGTATCTTTCTTTGTTACAGATCAGAAGCATGGGTCATTTACTTCTGACTGATGTTTTTATTTGAGGGAACAAGGGATGTTTGTTGTCTAAAAAGATGGAATTAATTTTCTTAGTGCAAGCTGTTATGTACAATTCATCCAAGTAGGGGAAAGAAGATGTTGAAATTTAACATGCTTTCATCTATGTATGTATATGAGGAAGGCCTACATGTATATCTGTATGTGTGCATCCATGATCATTACAGTTTGATGAATTTCAGTCTTTGTCGTCACATCACTTTCCAGAAAATGTACACGCGTGTACTGTACTCGTTTGTTTGACACCAACTTTTCTCTTCTTTTCCCGCGGGTGATTGGCGGTTGCTCTGGTGTGGTTTGCTCCTTCTTTCCTATCAAACATCTATCATCTTTATCTCCCCTCTTTCTTTTTTGTATTTGTTACTCTCTTGTAACACCTCTAATCTTTGACACTTATATGACCTCATTGTGTTGTAAATGCTGTAAAACTCTTACTAAAAAAACTAAAACAGTTAGATGAATTTCGGTCTTTGTCGTCACATCACTTTCCAGAAAATGTACACCGGTGTGCTGTACCCAGTTTTGTTTGACACCAACTGTTTTGTTCTTTTCCCCAGCATCTGTGGGCCGGTCCGGGGGGAACAGCAGTCGATTGGTCAGCGCAAGTGTCATGGAAGCTGACGGCGCATTTGAAGGCTTCTCTTACGTGCCACCAGCAGAAGACGCATTTGGCTAACGTGTGTGCGCGTGCGTGTATGTGCCTGAGTGCTGTGTTGTTCCTGTGTGTACTGGGTCAGCTGAGAGTTGACGTTGGGGACGGGGTCACGCCCCACGGAATGTGTGTGTACATAAGTTTGTTATAGTTACTGTATGCTAGTTTGGTAATGATTTTGTGTGAATTGGAGATACTCTTGTTGGGTTTTTTTGTGCTTAAAAGTGATGTTTGGTAAGGTTTACCCCAAATGGAGGCACTGTTTTCATAATTTTGCAATTTACCCTAAGGTATGTATCTCACAGAGATCAAAACAATATAACGCACAAATACCACGGCATCAATTTTTTACAGTTATTATTCACAACTTCTAAATTCTTGAAACATTTTTGGATGCTTTTCCTCATATCTGATGTGTGGAGGAACATACATGTCTTCTTCTCGATCGCATCACACTTGAAGTTTGGTATATGTCATAAATTGGGCTGTCCTGCTCAGTGGAGATACACGTAATATTTGATTATTATCTAAATTGAATCAACGGGTTTAATTTCAACGTTGCTTTTTTTTTTCTCGGCAAGATGATGCAGTGTTCTCCCCCCCCCCCCCGCATCCCCTGTAAAGATTGACCCCTCCTAGCGTCAAGTTCAGACAACCCAGTACACGACTACAGCCTTCCACTTGCCCTTGAAGCCCACCCTAACCCTAATTTTGACCAGACATGCCGTTTATTCCCTGTGATTTCAGTCAAAGGAGATTTCTACCATACCGTGTGAAAGGATGTCAGAAGTACGGTAGTTATGGTTGGCAAACTGTTCAAATGTTCTAAGCCTTTAAAGAAAGCGAAATTTTTCAGGAGAGAGAAAGAAACTATTTAATTCTTAAAAGAAATTGGTCGCTTTAAGGACAAGCGGGCTAACCCAGATTTCGGGGATTTCCAGACATCTTGACCTACACCAAAATTGGGCATTGCCCTACCTATAGGAGAAGTTTGGTTTCATTGATGGGTATATTTGTTTGGTTACAGAGAAAACTCTCCTTGTCTTTTAAAGAAACTGAACAAGGGGCAAAAACTTTACCTTCGATTTTCTCAAAACAGCATTTTTCGGGATTGCCCCCTTGTGCTTAAAAGCGACCCATTGTAAGCGTACTGAAATATGTTTTGTTTCTTTCTTTTTTTTTCACTTTTGCTTTTTTTTTCAACATTTAGAATTTGAATTTTAACAAAATATATTTCTGAAGCACCCACAACTGACCCCACAGATAAATAAAGAAACTGCAATTTTTTTTTATGTTCTAACTTTTGGGCTTAGTACATGTGTACAGCTGGCCAGGGTTGTACGTAATTGTGTTTGATGTGGACAATTGTTGAGAGAGAACGAAGCATGAGTGATGAGAGTGGTGTGGAGCTGTAGAGATATAAGGGAGAGGGTGTCTGGGGGCCTGTGCCTCTTCATAAAGGAACAGAGAACAGCGCCGCCGTTGAAGTTTCATGTCTCTTCTTCAATATTTCATTCTTTTAGAATCAGACGCTGATGCACAATATTTGTTTTGCAGAAGGCCTGATATTTCTTCTTCTTACTGTTCTTTTGTCCTTTCAGGGAGTGCTGGCTCAGTGCCTTGTTCTTTTTTTTTATATGTGTACAATTTTTCTATTTATAATACAAATGGAAAAAAAAAAGATTTACCTTATTTTCAATTATAATGAATGTCAGTGTTTGCAGACAGCTGAGAACTGTACACTAATTGAAAAGGGAGGGATGAATGTAAAAAAAAAAAAAATGAAAACTGGGCAGATCTATGTGAAGAAAGTAAGTAGGCTATAAGTAAGTATAAGACTAAAGCTGCAAAGTGGACATTTCTTTTAAATTTAACAAAAAGAAATTTGATAAATAGGAAAGGATTGAAAACTCTGCATTCCCTATATATGATTTTCATGATGAAATCACTGTATCAGCCCAGGTTTTCAATGCCTGTTGTGTGTTATAATACGTTATTATATAAGTCATATCACTCCCAATGTGTTGGTACCTTTTCTCGCAACGGATTTTGAATTTCTTTTTGTACAAATTTCACAGATGAAGCTCAACGTTGAGATTTTCTCCCTATATGAAGCTTACATGATGTTCTATTTACGTGTGTTATTGAACAGACAAAGACTTTGCTGTTTGATCGAAGCCTTATGTAATGTTACGATTGAAGGAGTTTGGGAGAGTGTAAGGAAAACTTTCCCTGCACTCAGTGAGGCGGACATTGTAAGAGCATGAGAGAGGGAGAGAGATAGAGAGAGGGAGATAGAGAGAGAGAGAGAGAGAGGGAGAGAGACAGGGAGAGAGAGAGAGAGAGAGAGAGAGAGAGAGAGAGAGAAAGCAGATGTGTGTGAAAGGGTCGAGCGAAAATTTTCTTTTCATGAACTTGTGATATCTTTGCAGCACATTAGTCGTTGACTGTGCAAGATAAGGCTGGCCTGTGATTGTTTTTCCGTCTTCAAGAAAAACATCGACCAAACACGTTTCATACGTCCTTGTTTCATAATGAGTAGTAATACTACAGTTATTATGTTGACGTTTTACTGGATTCTTTCTTTGAGACTGAAATTTGATGTAAAAAATGTGCAGTTCGATACACTTGTTTTGTTCTGAAATGTCTCCGTTCGTATGGTTCTTAAGTCTTTAGCTACTAACAAATCTTGTTTTTTTCTACAAGGTACGAAATAGAAAATATAAGGGTTCGGATAACTTGTGGCTTCTGCTATGGCCAATGTTACGTTTGTATCAACGTGAAATTAGGAACCCAATGCTAGATCTAGAGCTAACAGAACAGACGACATTTTATTGGAACTCAGTATCACCGGAAGTTCTTACAACTATTGTGCGAGGATCTAATTAGACTGGTCACTGAGCGATTGTCTTTAAGACGCATCGCACTTTACGTACTGAACTTCGCCACAAACATAACAAATCCTCAACAGTGAGACCGATTCTGGCAGTTACTAATACAGAATTAAATAGAGCACTCGGTCACAAGGACTTTGTTTAGAGAAAGAGAGAATAAGTGAGAGATGAAAAGTGATTAGTAAAGATTTACACATAAAGTCACTCTTTGACTAGCAGCTTACAAAGTCAGCGAATAGGGGGGCTCTGGATGCCTCTGGTATCAAATTGTCATAATTTTGTGTTCATGATCCACGAATAACACGTGATGGTGTTCAAGACTGTAGCACTGATGTTGAAAACCTAGTACATAAAGTTTGGTGATATAATTCATCAACCTAGAGACTGACATCTTTGCCTGATGATACTGCTCCGCATGCTGTGAGATGGAAGCCTTGATTGATTGAGTAGATGTTTTACGGCACTATCGACCCAATTTTGGTCATTTAAGCCTTGTAGTCAAAACAATATCCGTTAAACTTAAACAGATATTTTAGGGTCTCTGTGTTCCAATATCTAGGAAATCACCAGTTCCTGGCAAGGGAAGCATTATATTTCATGTTCTTAACATTTTGGGTTAGATCTAATATCTTTCTGTCCCAAAATGACCAAGCAGTGAAGATCATTTTTTTTTTTCAGAATGAATGTCATTTCATTTCATTTTAAGGAGAAAATATGATCTTCATCACCTGTTTCATGAAAGAATGCTCACAAAACCCGCAGAGGTTCCATATCTGCACTACATATTGTTGAAGATGAACGTTGTGGCTCTTTACCTGAGAGTTATCAAGATTTTTCTAAACCTGTGATCACATATGTATGGGTGTATGTATGCATGTGTGTGTTTGAAATCATGTATACAAGTCTACAACTATATATGTATAATACCACTCTGTATTTTCCAGGAAGTTCTTCACGGGGGGGGGGGGGGGATGTGGAAGTGGTAATGGACACTATGTGTCTTAAAGTATAGGAAGCTGAGATCAAGAAATGGCAAAAATCATTCCCGAGGAGGAAAAATTGTTCTTCAGTAGGGTTAAATTTTTAAACACCAAATGGCATTTTTCAGGATTCAATTCGAGACAAACAGCTCCATTGTTGATGCCTGCAACACTTTTTAAATAAAAAAATGTCAAAGTTGAAAAAGCTCTTACCACAGTCTCAAAGACTCATCCCAGTTAACTTTCAAAATGAAACTGGTCTTACTTTACGTGTACTTAACACCATACATGGTATATTCTTGAACAGTTGCAGTCTGCAAACTTTCAATTTTTCAAAAACTGTATTATCTTAGCAGTAGAAGTGAAAATCACTTTTGTCCAGCATGATCTATTCAAATGATGCTTTCAGACAGTAGTATAATGCAGGCCAATAATACATCGCATCAGAACTATTTTGTCCTAAGTGCCTCTTTACTTTTAAGTACCGCACACTTCGGACAAAACAGTTCTGAGATGACAAATAGTTGCGTTGTGCAGGGGTACAACTCTGCTCAAACCAGGCCAACTCCTGGGACATTCCAATAGATATGTAACAAATTTACGGGTCTTTACTTAAAGCATTAGAAAAAGAAAAGACCATGTCCCCCAACAGTATATATGTGAGGCAGCATGGTGGAATCAGGCTCTCGTCAATTTTTGGGCACATTGAGTTATAGGTATCATCTTAAAGCTTGTTCATTTGTCTTGTTTTAAATGAAAAAATTACCCATCCATCTTCAATAGAACTGGAGATATTTTGGATTTAAGGAGGTGGGGGTCACCTGGTTTAAGAGGTAAAATTAGCGAGAAAATGGCCGCCAAAGCTTGGTAAATTTCAAAGCTGGAGAGTCCATGGAAACTGAAAATTTATATTTTTGTGCCTTTAATCAACGTTTTCGGTGAATTCCTCAAAGGAATGTGTTTGTAAATGGACATAAAAGTTGTTGAGTCAAAAAACAAAAATTTGATAAAAATTGCTAAGCATGGAGAAAACTGCAGTTTTCTTCAATTTCATTATTTTGACGAGAGCCTGATTCTATCACGCTGCCTCACATATGATACAAGACTAACAACATTTGTTATTCCACTACTGACGTATTTATTAGTGAATGACAAGGTATGTTTGGAAATTTTATGAGTGCTGATAGATATTTTTTTTTCCTTTTATAAAAATTCGATACCTTTTCTAGACAACGTTTTTCTTAGAAGTGAATATCACTTTCGTCCAGTATGATCTATTGAAGTAATACTTCTTTGAGTAAGGTTACTTAAACAAAATTATTATTAACAGTACTCTGTGCTAAAAAGATAATGCACTTGGAGTTCTGACATTCAAATTTAACTACAGAAACTCTCCTCTGTAGCTGAAACAAGTGCATTATATTTATAATATAATGCATTATGAAGAACTTGTGGGGACACATCACTAACATATTTCCCATTGTATCTACTCAACGAATTTGCAATTTGCATAAAAATTTGATTGTGCATAATGTAAAGGACACATATATTCTTAAGGCAGTATTATACGTAGACAAGCCCAGAATGGGATTTGGACTTACTCAGAAATCTCGAGTTTGGTAGCACACACGACCTATCAGTGTCTCTCTGACTAATTACTTGTCTTTCTTGCAGTGTGCAGAGTGGAAGATGTGATTGGAAACCAAAACCTGCTGTGTTGTAGAAATTATGGGATGACAGGATGAACTCTGAACCTGGGGCCGCCTCAGAACTACTTTGTCCATAGTGTACTTAACTCTTTATACCCCATCGGATGTTGGGAGCGTCCAAACTGGTGACAACTGTTTCGTTTTATTTAGATAGTGCTAGTTTTTCCTTGTTTTTGCGAACTATTCCCGAACCAAGAAAGTTTTTTTTAGAAATGAGTAAGCCTTGGTTTCAGTCATTTAGATTCTAGAAGTTGGAGGCAAGCATTTGGGGTT